ATGACAGTTGCAGTGTCACTCACTTTATTAAATTTCTTTTAATAGCCCCGCATTTACACACAGATATACAACCATAAATTACACCCAAACTCACGAAAGAAATAAATGTAGGCCATACAAATTGCCTCCGTGTTAGAATGGTTACAGACTGTCACGCAGAGGTCCTGGGTTCGATTCTCGGGCCGCGAGAAATATTTGTATGGCCTACATTTATTTCTTTGCGACTTTGGGTGTAATTTGTGGTTGTCCTATGTTTGTCCATGGCTTTCCTAGTGCGGGGCTATGAGTGTGTGCGTTATTATTAAATATTTCTTCCGGCTCGGGAATGGAACCAGGGACCTCTGAAGGGCGGATCACCATGGTAACCATTAGGCCACAGAGGCAGCTTTAAAACGCAAAGATCTCAAACCCTTAATAAGTTGACAAGTCCTATGTGCCTGTAATTTCACCAGCACCTTACCCTTCAAAACAGGATCTCTTTTATAGTATATTATTACAATTGTTGATCTTCAAAGCCTTTGACTTTCACTATTGAGTGGTGTACCACTATATCCAATACAAACGATCAAAACTTTTCGACTGGTACAGAATTTTGATTTTATACAGTAATTGTGAAGTTTAATTCAATTCGTTACATGTTCTGAACACAAAGTCAGAAACAAATATACACTTTATTTTGAATTTGAGTTTACAAAACACCAGTACCTTTCAGTAACTTTTTTAATTTTGAACAAGTAACGTAAAACTAATCTAAAGTTGTACAAATACACCCCGTCAACTGAGTTCGTAAGTCAATTTATCAAAACTGGATTTAAATCTGAAACTTACAGTGATATGTACATGATAGGTTGGTTAAATTAAAAGTATTAAAACAACAAGAAAGGCTAATAAACTCTTTTTGAATGCCAGAAGTCTACTCACGACATTTGTTCGAAACAATTATTACTGTCAAATAAGTATTATTCGACCAAATTTAAAGACGAATGATGCGAATTAAGCTTCATACATAACGTGACTTCTATGTATGAAGTCCCGCTTTCAAACTTCGTGTCCCGCTGTTCCCAAAATACTTAAAATTGTCCCGCTTTGACTAAGCGGGACACACGTGACAATAAATTTAAAAGAATGGCGCGAAAGCGTAGCAAGTAAGCTGTAATTGCCAGCGCATTTTACATGGTTTTGGCGGGAAGGAATCGGTGGCGGTGCCGATCTCGGCACCAAACGTATTAAAAAACTAAACGTGACCAATTAAAGCATCCCTCGTTCGAAAAATATATAAAACCAGCTCAGCATTTTGATAATTAAATATTTTAAATTCCTTTTTAATACAGTTGCTGAAAACGTGGAATTTTCGTACTACAAATCGTGCCGAAAGTTGGATTTCCGACTAGTGCTTTTTACTTTTCCATTTTTTTTTAAATTTACTGTTGTTTCAAGGCTTAAACATAGAACTAAGGAGGTTGTATATTTATTTAATAATTATGTGCTTTACGACGTAAGTCATTCGTCATTAAAACTTATGTTTACTTACAAACATCTTATTTGTTTAAATTGCATAGATGTTTTATAAAATAACGGGTTACGTTATAAAATGCCAAAATATTTTCCACAAAGATGGCTGATTGAGTTGACTTGTTGATTGAGTGATTGACAATGACCGGAGGTGAGTATTACGCGAGGCCGCTGCGCACAGCGACTCTAAAATATACTGTTTTATTTTACTTTCAATGTAGTTTTTCCGCAAACGTATTAAAAAACGTGTATCAAATACGTGCGGATTTGTCATTTTCACTTGTCTCGAGTCTAGACCCTTGCCTCTGGCTCGGGCCAAGAAGCCTCGAGACTCGTGAAGAATGACTAACTTTCCGCACTTGTATCAAAAATAACTATTTTAAAACAATAATAAACATATACGCGTACCGCCTTGAAAGAAAAAAATTATGGTCACGTTATTCATACTTTTGTCCTTTGATTTCGTCGAATATTACTTATTTGACAGCAATTGTTTTGGACGGAATGTCGAACGAGACCGACAGTAAATCCACTGATGTCATGAGGTCAGAAAGTAAAATCCAAAAAGACTAACGGCGTTCAATGCCGAAAAAATACTAATATCTATAACAAACACATGGAATAATTTCGTCGGCCTGCTGACTTGACCTGTAGCTCAGTTGACAGAGCGACGCTACGGTATAGCGTGATCACACGTTCAAATCCTGTTAGGTCGAAGAAATTTTTCTTTGTGTTAATATTATACCAAATAAAGTTATTAGGAGAAAACAATTTCTTAAATAAAAACGATTACTTATGGGTTCTGTAGGTTCGGCCTCATCTAACTTTTCAGACACATTTTAAGCTTTGGGCTCACACCTTTTTATCTTGATTGGCTTATATTTGAATTTAAATCTTAAATGTAAAGGGAGATGTACCATAGTCGGTACATAATTAAAAGAAGAATCAGTTGACGACATTCGACTCATATAGCGAAAAAGTGGATATTTTCAAATTGATAATAATTACGAACGCACGTCGTATCCTTCGTATAATGAAGGCACATGTCATCTTACGGCAAAGTGCTTTTATGTACTGACAAAAATAATACGAAGTGTATGTAACACATTATGTATACTTATATGAAATTTTGTAACATTCCTATTTAATGTAGAATCTTTAAACCCTCTTCTGAAACGTAGTAATTTTGCAGATGTTGCCTTGTTATACCAAAGAGCGCGATAGTTGTTATGTCAATTTGACAAGAGTGTTCCGATCCTTTTTTTTCCATCCTCTAGGGTTCCGTTCCGTAAACATTGAAGAATTTATAAAATAATGTTGTGTTATCATGTATAATGTCGAATTGAGAAAGGTGGCCAGCAGCGGCTGGATGCGGGCGGCACAAGACCGGGAGGTTGGCGTGCATAAGGGGAGGCTTATTCCCAGCAGTGGATGCGTGTAAGCTGATGATGATGAATGTTGTGTCATCAGACAGTCAAGTCAAGAGAGAGGTGATATGTCTCCATTATGTCTCATACCAAAATTTTGAGTCGAAACAATCGTCATCTGGTACAATAATGTAATAAGCAAAAAAGAAAAATAAACATATAATGGTAGAATTTAAAAAACATTTGTTTCACAATAATTTTTGCTTAACAATTAAAGCTAAATTCAATTTAAAGCTTGATATCGACTTACTACAAAATTAAACAAAGATAAATATAAATAACAGTTAGTTTTAAGTTTTAGTTATTTTTGAATATGTTATTTTTTAAATCAAATAAATGTGGGGTCTCTCACATGTAAAGTAACTGTAACATATGCATTTTCACGTAGATATAAGCGTATAGGTTAAAACTAGGGTTTGCTCCCGGGATTTCCCGGTAATGAATATTTCCGGCAATTACAGGAATTTTCTTTATATTCGTTACCGGTACCGATTGCGAAATTCTCAGGATATTTCCGGCTAAACTCGACTCATTTAGTTAGTAGTTCGTGCTAGATATGATGTTTCACTGAAGTGAAGTTGAAATTAATATATAGAACGACGCGCGACTTTGTGAAAAGGTAAGTACATTCTTAGTCTTCTTGATTTTACATAATATAATAACAGTATGATCCAAAATGTATCAAGTACTTGTGTTACAAAATGGTGCTAAAAGAAATTATACATGTTTTTAATAATATATTTTGATTGATTTTTTGCGTAGGCTAATTTCTGTTAAATAACGCTTTAATGACTATTTTTTATATATTTCCCTTTTTGCTTCTAAATTAAAAGAAAAAGAATGTGATGATTTTTCCGTGATATTAATTTGAATTTAAATTAAATATTTTTTTCGATGATTTTTTATTTAGTATCGAAATTTCCCGGGACTTTTGCAAATCTCTACACGGTACCGGTACTACAACGCCTAGTGAAAACCTTTCGTATTAGTTTAGTGAGATGACCGTAATATTACGAACTGTTACGAACTATTACGAACGAATACTCAGTATTTATTATACAAATAAATCCAAACATCGCCTCTTAGACAGTACTTAATTCAGTTTTTTTTTTTATTTATTTTATTTTATAATTTTCGTTACAACGTTAGAAAAAATAAAATCAGCTGTAATTTTTTGCGCTAAGAGAAGATTTGCAGAAATTTCAGAACACCAACGTACAAAATTCTAATTTCTAAACGTAGCAAACATGGACGTGGTCTAACTACAGCGAATGGACCTCTCTTTTAATATTGTCCACATTTGTGCATTTTCATTAAACTTACTGATTTGAATCATCAAATCTAATTTTTCATACACATTATACAAAAGACAAGAATTTAAAAACAACATTTTAAAACTCGTATTTATTTTATTGAATATCATGTTCTTATTACCATGATATCCGAATTTTTTTTTGTGAAAATATTCCACTGGTGGGTGATCGAACAATCACAAAGAAGAATTCTTTCAATCCGGCTGGATTCGAACCAGCATATGTTTGCCAGATCGGGGCTAACTGCGCCAACTGGGCTACGGAACGAATGAGCAGACATCACGAATTTCTCCATGTGCTTGTTGCTGATCTGTTGTTTTTTGATTCATACGGCTTTTTTACCGTAGCACCATCTGTGAGAAACCTATGAAAGCTTTTCTTCACTCAGTCAGGTACATTTACAGCTACCAGTGGTTTTTAAAACCAAGACAATTTTTTTCACTAATTTCCGAACGTTACCTAAACAGAACAAGTTTGTTTATTTTCGCAATAAAAATTAGCTTCTTTCGTGTGTGATGATTCTTAGAAACAACACCTAATAAATTTTTATTATGTATTCATATCCCAAATAAACAGCAACCGCTTTTCAAAATAATCTTTCTTTTTACTTGCGTCTCAACAAATCTACCTAAGCATCAATACATAAATATTTTAAAACGATTTTGGTCCTACGAAAAGAATTTCAATAACTAATCTGTGTTATTTTACCTCATTTTATTATTTATATACACATTTTGAAAATGCTACTTTTTAAATAGAAAAAACATCGATTAATCTAATGTATATGAAAACACTTATTTATCGCTACGTAATATTAATCAATAATCATTCAATTTTAAGCTGTAAATACTGCCTTATCTAATCTTTAATGATATTTTAGTGCGATGAGCGTTTGCCTCTCTTATGCCTTTCGTCTAAACTGATCTACTTTCTTTAGTAGATTTTCTATTTTTACATTATCACAGGCTTTTCACGCTCCAAACCCTGGGGGTTTCATTGCACCTTAGTTTCAGTGATACCTTTAGAAAGTCCAATAAAATCCACATCTTAAAAGTAACATTCAAAAACGAACTCTGTTCCACATCCTCTTAAGACCAAGCTTACAAATACTAGCAACTTTCGTTAGGCGTTTGATTACATGCATCATTCTTAAACAAGAAATACCTAATACCAATTATTATTATAAAATGTGTCTATAAACAATGTCCAAGAACATTATGAAGAAACAACATCAGTGTGTTGTTTTATCGCTATCGAAAGTATACTCGATTAGATTTTTGGTTGTGGTTTCCTCAAGGGAATATCTTAGGCCCGATACTTTTTTAGACAAGTGTACCGGAACTTTCTGGAAGTTTCGGTAATGTCTTGCAAATTATTGAAGAAGTTTCTGGACGGGCGGTGGTCGCCTAGCAGTCGTGCGGCCACCGCGAGGGGTGGCCGGCCACGGATCACATGACACAGCAACTCTTCGCTCGCCCCTTTAGCTCAGCTTTCAAGTCGCGCTTGCTTTTGCTGCGGCCTACTTGCTTCTGCTAAATAAGAAAATAAAATTTCTGATTACCAAAAGCACTTACATGGAAAACCAAAACAGAATTATTATGTGTTTTTTTAATTTCAAATCTGTTTTCAAGTTTCAACCCAAATTGTAAGTTTTTAACTAGTTCATAAAAGACGGATGTTATAAAGATCGATATATAGATACCTGTTGTTTCATCTGCTGTTTATTCAATTTTCCTAGTGCAGCCAATGCAGCTACTTCGAAAGCGTCTTTCACTCCCTTGCTGGATGCTCTGGCGGAAGTTTCTACGTATGTAGTAGCTCCGAGCTGTCTAGCTACTGATAGCGCCTGAAAAACGTTGACGTTGTTAGAATAACAATTGTTTGATTAAACGTAATCTAAGATCAAGTAATTAAGCCTTATTGGCAGGTAGGTAGATAGCGAAAGTCTATTGCGATCTTCCGTTCACGTCACTTGATATTATAAAAAAAGATACGACGGCAACCACGCGTCTATGTTTTCGACAGTATTTTCCTTTGGCAATGTGATGGGACCCTCCTGACATCTCCATATCATTAGGGAGATAGGAGAAGGCAAAAGTCCTTTATATATTGACAGGCATTCAAATGCCGCATAGCCTGATATTACCTATAACCACATTTATTATATAAAGTATGAAGTGCAAATGAGAAACAATTAACATTTAACGATTGACTATACGTAGAATCAATGTACATAAACAAACTGATGATTGCTTCTTTGTTCCAACAAATTTAAGTGGTTGTGTAACAAAGATGATCTGCTCCAATCATTCACGGTCATTTCAATAAGTTATATTCCAGTATTAAGAGCACCAATTGGGAACAGTGGCCCAATTCTGGTGCCCGATTAGTTTGAGGTCTTATTTCCACTCCGGTTAACAGCTCTATGAGGCACACTCTCGTAATTGAAATACGCTGCAGGGAATACTAGTGCGATGCTAGCGGCTGAATTTGGCACGTGGGTCACAATATTAGATTGGTAATCTACAGGGAGTAATAAAAAAGTGTAGTAATTTCGGGTTATGAAAGTGTCTACGATACTAAAAATGTGTAGCTAGAATTTAAAAAAATCTTCATGGATATAAGCATGGATTCGTAGATGATTTGATTTCTTCATTTCGGTATCGCTGGGGTCTAGCTAAAATATTACAAGTAAAACATATTTCATGAAACATTTTAAGTACCTCTTCACTCGTGACAGGATGTGTCTTCAGCTTGGACAGTATGGTGAGGGTTTCTTTATCATGCCTCAGGTCTGCTTTGCAGCCGCACAACAGTACAGGTGCTGAACCTCCGTGCGTCCTCACTTCTCGGTACCACTGCAAAACATAAAGACGATGAAATCAAAATTCTTTGGCACTTATAACCTAGCTGGAAGAATGACTGCCTTGACTAAGGTTTACAAATTTTCGAAGATATGTTAAGTACCTTTGAACCGCATAGACCATCCCTAAATCTCCTTGTAGAGACCCATCGTAGTCAGTGGGATGTATACATATTCGATATAAATGACAGAAAAATTTGATTTCTAGATTTCAAGCCACTGGAGGCGAAAAACATGTCGAGTGTATTTTTGATGTTGATATTTGTGGTGGTTGTGTTTTTATTTACTTTGTGCGAAGGGAAATTGTGAATGTTAATTGCATGAAAAAATATTCAACACAAGCACAGTTTTTATTATACGAGTCATCCTTCACTGGGTTCGCGGAGAAACAAGGTAAGTAACTTACTTTCAATTATATTAACTTCGCAAGTTGTTTTTGCACCAAAATAGTCAGTCAGTACCTAATATAGTCTCCCGTCGTCTAGATCAGTATTCAAATAAATAATTGGTACCTGTTCATTGATATGAACAAAATTAGTGAGTAATTTATCTATAATTAATTAATTATCAAAACAATAAACACTATAAATCATTCAATAAGAAACATTTTTTTAAAACTGAAGACATTTAAAACTTCATTTTGTAATTTGCTTAATTGTTATTGTATCAGCATGTAAGTTAGCATGTTTTTGTCCTGTCTTGTTGCAAGTAACTTAGTTTTTGTGTAACACGATGGGACATCAGTCTTTTTATCAGTTGTTTTTGCTCCATTAAATTATATTTTTACTTAAATTAATCGGAACTCCTTCGCCGCAGTTAAAGCCGGAAGGAGTTTTGTGAGCGATGCTTGTAACTCGTAAACAAGTATTTCTTCTGTGTTTTAATCAATAAAAAAGATGTTACCAGTAATAATTATTTTCTTCTCTACTAGTCAAATATGATGATGACTGTCTTTGAGAACATTTCCTTTCTGTTTTCTGAATATAAGCTTTAAGCTTATTAAAGGGAATTTAGATTGTTTGTTATGAAATTTGTTGGAACATATAATTATTATAAGTATTCATTAGTACTTAAGGGAAGTATACTGCCCTGCTAAGCCAAAAGGCGCTATCTCTGAGATACGTTATTTTAGTTTTTTTTATACCATTCAATAGCTATATATAATAGAAATAGGGCTATCTAACTTACAAAATTTAAAAACCACTCAGAAGTATTTTGATATCACAATTTTAGAAAACTTTCTATAAAATTAAAATAGCGGTATATCGCAAAATAGGTAATATGGTACAATTTATGGATAATTTAGGAATGTCAATTAATCTATTAGTCAAAAATACGTATAAGTTTTAGCATCTTCAAAAAGTAGTAGTTTTGAAGGTGTGAAAATACAATTTACAAAGAGTCGATTTTCTCTAAACTTACTACGATTGAGATAGCGCTTTTTGGCTTATCAGGGCAGTATAATAATATTTATTTGGTATTGGTCATTGAAATAACTACTGAAGACACGCTACTAAACCTAAAATATCAGTTTTTATATTTTTTGTCTGTCGATCTGTTCGTTTGTGCACACTAGTCTCCACAATGGCTGTATTGTGGAGAATAAAAAAAATTAGGATAGGGTTTTTAGTAATGTATTATGATAATCTTGAATTAACATGTTAAAATTTTAAAGTAGAATTTCTTAACCACTTTCTAGGTAACCTTAATTTATATACATATTATTTTTATATTGTAACTAAATATTTTAAAAAACCTTGATCCCTAGACACTTTTAATGTGTGTAGTTGGCATCACTGACGGCAAACTTTAGTCTGTAAAAATGTACGTAACCTTATATCAATCCTTATCCTTACATCTAAGTTAA